GTGAATTGAATCTTTCATCATTAGGCAGAACCCTTTTATCTCTAGTAATATTACTATTATCTGTCCTTATTATACTATTATAGTATTATGTTATATATTATATTATACTATTGTCTCTTATTAACAGTCACTCTTGCTTTCTTTTTGTTAATATCTGCATAATGTAGCCTTTGTGTTCTTTTGCTTCTAAACTTTCAGTGTCCTTATATTTTTGGCCTGTCTCTTATAAATAGCATTTAGCTTAATAATTTATTTTAATTTTCATTTTTATTGGTATATGTGTTTAAGACTATAAATTTTATCATTATCTTTAAAAGTATCTCATAGATTCTGATACCTACGGCTTTTCAATAACTTTATTCTGTAGGGGTTTTGTTAATTTAAAAAATTTCCCTTTCACCTGAGAGTTGTTAAATACAAGGTTTTAAATTTCCACTGGAAGAACTTTTTAAAATATGTTTGTTCTGCCAGGACTTTTTTAAAGCAGAAGAAACATGCACACATACATTCAAACCCACTATCTGACTTTAATTTATTGGGTATGCTACATTTGGTTAAGTTTCATCAAATCTCCCAATAAAACTTTCAGAAGAGGAAAAAAAAATGTATACGTTGATTCCACCAGGGCCTGTAAAGTGTCACCTCACCAGTTCCACTGGAAAATCATAATTAACCTTCAGCTTCATTTGTAGCCTAGCCAAAAATAACACAAATATCCTTTTAGGGGCACATCCATTTTCTTTTCTTTTTTTAAAATTTTACTTTACTTAATGTCTGCCCAAAGGCAGACACTTAATGACTGAGCCACCCAGGCGCCCCAATGCTAGCTATTTTTATCATTTTTTTGATTTTAGCCATTCTGACAGGTGAAAGGTGGTATCTTATGGTAGTTTTGAGTTTCCCTGGGGGCACATCCATTTTTCACTATGAAGTAGAACTCTGCTAGCCACAATGTAAATTCTAAACTTCCTAGACTTTAGACTGAGTTCTGTTTTTCAGAGTACAATTTCGCTACACTTAAAAAGATTTTTTAAAGTCCTGATTCTATCAAATCTATACTTTTTTTTATAAGATTTTATTTATTTACTTAGAGAGAGAGAGAAAGCAAGAGAGAGAGAGCAGGAGCAGGGAAGAATGGCAGCAGGAGAGGGAGAAGCAGGCTCCCCACTGAGCAGGGAGCCCGATGTGGGACTCGATCCCAGGACCCTGGGATCATGACCTGAGCCCAAGGCAGACGCTTAACTGACTGAGCCACCCAGGCGCCCCTCAAATCTATAATTTTCCATTATTGAGATTTACAGACCACTATCAACCCCTAATAATGGCTAGAGCTAACAATCACTGAGTGCTCACAGTATGCAGGCAGTGAGCTCAGTGATATATTTAATTTAATTCCTTTAATTCTGTGTTATAGATGAGGAAAAGGAAGGTTATCATAATTGAGCAATTGCTTAAGCTACCTGACCTGATAAATGGCAAAGCCTATGCTCTTAACCTATGTGCATTTAGTGTCTTGAATAATAAAAAGATTCTGTTCATATATTTTAGCTTTCATAGCCATATTTAGTATCACAATTAAATCGTGATATTTCTAAAAAAAAAGCTTGTTATGAATTAATGGTTATTATGCTGTGGCCAGAGCATCATTCATGTTATTTGTATTTTATGGAAGTTATTATATTTCTTTATTACCTAACATAAGATAAATTTTTGTGAATGTTCCATGAGCAGTTGAGAAAAAGATGTATTCTCTAGTATTAGTGTATGAAGTTCTATATATATCCCAGAAGTCCTACTTTATTGGTAATATTGTTTAGGTATTCATTATTTTTATTTTTTGTCCACTTGACCTAACTTGTACAAAGAGTGGTGTCTTAAAATCTCCTATTATTAATGTGTTTATATCTATTTTTTCTTGTATCTTCTGCACTTTGCATCTTTATGTTTTTCTATAAGACTTCAGCTTGAAAGAGTTTGGTTAGATCATTATTGGTTCACATTTTCTTTATATACTTTGATTCATAGTGGGGTTTTTTTGTGTTTCTTTAAAATGTTGCTCCCATGAGATTACCACCTCACACCTTGTCAGCATGGCTAAAATCAGAAACACAAGCAACAGCACATGTTGGCGGGGTTGTGGAGAAAAAGGAACCCTCATGCACTGTTGGTGGAAATGCAAACTGGTGCAGCCACTGCGGGAGAGAGTATGGAGGTTCCTCAAAAAATTAAAAGTAGAATTACCATATTATCCAGTAATTTCACTACTGGACATTGACCCAAAGAAAATGAAAACACTAATTTGAAGAGATAAATGCACCCCTTTGTTTATTGCAGGATTATTTACAATAGCCAAGATATGGAAGCAGCCCAAGTGTCCACTGACAGATGAATGGATAAAGACGTATATACACACAATGGAATATTATTCAGCCATAAAAAAGGATGAGATCTTGTCATTTGCCACAAGATGGATGTGTTTGAAAGTGTAATGCTAAACAAAATAAGTCAATCAGAGAAAGACAAATACCATATGATTTCACTTGAGGGTTTCCTTTTCTCCACATCTTCACCAACAACTTGTTATTTCTTATCTTTGATAGGAGCCAGTCTGACAGGTGTGAGGTGGTATCTCCTTGTGGTTTTGATTTGCATTTCCCTGATGATGAGCGATACTGAGCATCTTTTCATGTGTCCTTTGGCCATTTCTATGTCTTATTTAGAAAAATGTCTATTCAGGTCCTCTACCCATTTTTTAAATTGGATTGTTTATTTTTTTGGTGTCATAGTTGTCTAAGTTCTTTATATATTTTTGGATATTAGCTCTTATCAAATATGTCATTTGCAAATATCTTCTTCCATTCAGGAGATTGCCTTTTTGTTTTATTGATGCTTTCCTTTGCTGTGCAGAAGCTTTCTATTTTGGTGTGGTCCTAGTAGTTTATTTTTGCTTTTGTTTCCCTTCCCTGAGGAGACATATCTCAAAAAATGTTGCTGAGGCCAATGTCCAAGAGATTACTGTGTGTGTGTGTGTGTGTGTGTGTGTTTAGGAGTTTTATGGTTTCAGGTCTCACTTTTAGGTCTTTCATTCATTTTGAGTTAAATTCTGTGTATGTTGTAAGGAAGTGGTCCACTTTCATTCTTTGCCTGTGGCTGTGTCATTTCCCCATCTATATTGCTTTTAGCTAGCAGTCAAATTCTCTCGCCCTTACAAGTTATTTTAGCTTTTTACCTGGAGGCCCTGAGGATTTTTTTTTTCTTTTTATCTTTAAAGTTCTAACAGTTTTACCAGGCTCTCTTAATTTTCCCAGAAATCTGATTGATCCTCTCAATAAGTATCTTCAGCTTTTCTTCTACTTCATGAGCGTTCTCCTGGAGTACAGCCTGTGGATGAGTCTGTTAGCGTGCTCTCCTCCTCTTCTTACTTGTCCCTCCCCTACCAACCCCTTTCCCTTCGTCTTTGTCCCCTTTATTCCCACGTGTCCTCTTTCTGTTCCTCCTCCTCATCCAGTGTCTATTTTCCCTATTTTCCTCAGTGAGGGGCTCTACTTATACCCACGTTAGATCTTCTTTTCCCATGTTCTGTGTCAACCATTTTCTTTTTAAATCTCATCTCATTTTTTTTTTTTCATATTTTGCATCTCTTTAATGCACCTTAGTAAGCTTCCATTTGAGTCTATTCTCTCTCAGAAACTTTGCAATTTAGTCTTCATTTCTGATATGATCTTATCTTTTGCTTTCATTTCTTTCCTCGTTTTAATTCTTTTGGTTTTTGGATACATTTCTTTCTTCTTTTTTAAATAAAAATTCCTCATTAAAGGTATTTTTTCATTTTCCCAAATGCTTGTTTGAGATGATTTAGTTCTGTTTGGAGTATTGTTACACTTTCCCTCTGCTGTTCACTTTTGTCAAGGAAAAGCAGTTCATTGAGTTCATCAGTTGAATGCTTTGATTCTTACTTTCGGATATTTTTTTCCTCTTACGGTAGTTATGTATAAAGGAAGACTGCTTATATCTATGCATTTTAGGGGTAAGGTTGTTTGATTATGGTGTGTTATCAGTTATCTTTTGCTGTATAACATTATTATGTTATGTTAGTCACCATACAATACATCATTAGTTTTTGATGTAGTGATCCAAGATTCATTGTTTTCATATAACACCCAGTGCTCCATGCAGTACATGCCCTCCTTAATACCCATCACCAGGCTAACCCATCTCCCCCACCACCCCTCCCCTCTAAAACCCTCAGTTTGTTTCTCGGAGTCCATAGTCTCTCATGGTTCGTCTCCCCCTCTGATCTCCCCCCCCTTCATTTTTCTTTTCCTTCTCCTAATGTCCTCCATGCTACTCCTTATGTTCCACAACTAAGTGAAACCATATGATAATTGACTTTCTCTGCTTGACTTATTTCACTTAGCATAATCTCCTCCAGTCCCATCCCTGTTGATGTAAAAGTTGGGTATTCATCCTTTCTGATGGCTGAGTAATATCCCATTGTATATAGGGACCACATCTTCTTTAACCATTCATCTGTTGAAGGGTATCTCAGCTCTTTCCACAGTTTGGCTATTGCGGACATTGCTGCTATGAACACTGGGGTGCACATGGCCTGAAGACAGTGTTCTAAGAGGGTAAGCATGGGAACTGCAAGGACTCTCGAGGCCTGGGCTCAGATACCACCCAGTGTCACTTCCACTGCATTCTACTAATCAAAGCAAATCATGAGCTTAGCCCAGATTCAAGGCACAGGGGAAATAGAGTGCTAAATCCCATTGCAAAGGGCACGTGGAGATGGATAAGAGGAATTTTTGCATCAATCTTTGTGAATAACCTCTAGAGAAAATTGCTAATTCCAAGAGAACCCTCTTCTCTCTATGTAGCAAAGGGGAAATGTAAGAAACTACTGTTTTTTATTTTTATTTATTTATTTATTTATTTTTTCTGGGTTCAGCTGACTTTATTAGGTCCTTTATTAGAGCTACAGGTGGCGATGAGAATGTGTGTAGCCAAAGGCTGGTGCTGTAGAACAGGCTTGTGCTAAGTGCCTTCTTGCCTAGTGTCCAGCAGCTTGGAGGATTTCCAGGGCCAAGGAAGCCACCACACTGTCAGCAGACGAACCCCCAGCAGGGGCCAGCCACTCCAGAGCCTGCAGAAGGCTGCCAGAATCCTTAAGGCTCTCCAGGTGCTTCTTATTGGATGTGACCATTCTTCTGAGAATCTTCAACAGAAGCTTCTGCTCTTTTGGGTCCTCCTTAGATGTCAGTAAATTGGCAAAGTTCTCTGCATTTTCAGGAGACAGGCTGTCTGGGTTTTCCCCTCCATACAGCTGAACCAGTATGGACAGACATTTGGATGACACTTCAAAAATTTCAGGATCCTCATTTGGAAGCAGTGGAATGAGCAGGCTAATGAGGTCTGTCAGAGGTTTGCTGAGCAGCAGCAGATCCTCGGCGGCTTGAGTGTCCCCTCCTGAGCCAGACTTCTGTGCCTGCACAGCCAGTCGAACGACACTGGATGTGTAGGTCAGCATGCCATGCAGAATATCGAGCAGGGAGAAGTGCAGTGCAGCAGCCATCTTGTTCTTGTTCTTATTGTCCACGTCCAAGCACAGTGTGGCGGTTTCAGTGAAGAGGTCACAGACATGGCGGACCAGACCTTGTTCATAAAGTAGCTTCATATTTGAATCTTTGCAGGCAACCAGATTGTTGAGCAATGCAATCACACTTTGCATGGTGTTACCCAGAATGTTCTCCTGATGTTCCTTCCAGTAAGTGGTCGCTTTTCTGTTCAGAGAGTTGTTGCTATTCTTCTCTTCGATCTCCTGTTGAGTTCCTAGGTGTTGAGAATGGTTTGAACCCTATTCAGCTGAATTCCTGAGACCCGACGAAATCCAGGTCTCCTACTCCTCTGCCATCTTGCTCCGCCCCCCTATTTATTTATTTTTGAGAAGAACAAAGGAGGCTGGGGGGGAGGTGTATCGTTGGTTCACTTTTATCTTTGAAGATCCTAAAATTTCCCCTCTAGTTTATTTTTTCCCTCACCGTTATATCTCCAAAGGGGCCTTGCTTATCTTTTTGAGTATTTTTTTTCCCAGAGAAGTGATGTTTTTATGTGACCGCCACCTTGAGCTCAACGGACTTTTAAATCCTGTCAAAGCCTTAAGTCAATGCTCTGATGTGCTAGGACGCTTTTTCAATATTGTCATTCTTGGGGTGGAGTTTCTGTGTCTTTGGGAGCTTTTAGGTGAATAGTAAGTCCTTTGTTCCTTCATTTTCTCTTTTGTGGGGACCTCCAAAGTTCTCCACCAAATCTTGTGCTAGGAATTTTAGGTATATCTCTCTGGAAACCATAGTTTATTTTCCACACACAGGTGATCTAAAATTTGTAATCTCTGTCTTCTAGTTATGCTGACAGCATGGGATTCCGGCTACTTTGTCCTTGTGCTGTATATGTCACTGGAGGATGTGCAGGGACATTCAGTGTAGATGACCCCTATGAACCCAGTGCCCCAGAATTCTGCTCTTGCCTGTGATTCTTTTAGTTTGTTCTATCTCCTTGCTCTCTATGCTGTCATTCTGGATTTTTTTTTTATTTGTTCATTAATTCCTTTTCTCATCTTAAACTGCCATTTCAGCTTCCAGTTTAATTTTTCCCTTTGAAGGCCTCAGCTAACAGGGGGAGTCCAAGGTTCACTCTTCCCCTGTGTGGTGGGCTTCAGGAGGTGATGCTGCTTCCAGGGCAAATCCTATCTTACAAGTTTGTTTGCTTGTTGACTACTATTCTCATTTCAGCTCTCTATCATTTTTTTCCTCCCTAGCCTTCCCCCAATCCCACCTTTTTTGGTAGCTTTTGATGCTTCCTTGTGAACTCAGTAATGCTTTAAAAGGTATGATGATGGCAATGTCTACTTGTTTCCAGCTGAAGGTCCTAAAGTTCTCATCATTTATCTTTCATTGCTTCTTTTATCACCAGACAATTCCACCTTCTCTAGCCTGGCCACAAAGCAATGGTAAGATGAGCAAAAGGAATTGATTGGGAAGTGTAGGAAAAAGACACAGTCAATTGTAAAAGACTTTAGCTATATGAGTGTTTATGTGAGTATTACACATGACAAGAGGGAGACCAAGAGGGAGACAAGAGGGGTTGGAAATTAATCTAGAACAGGCCCTGTATGGGATGTCTCTGAGAAAGTGGCAACAAAACTTAATGAATTTTTACACCAGGATCCCATTTGGGAATAAGGAAGAGTTTTCCTTAATATGTTCATTTGTTTTCCTAGTAAATATTGTTGATGACAAATACACAGGCTCATCATCTATTTATAATTTCGACTAGCAATGATTGTGTCTTTTATTGTTCTGGCCCATAATGGAAGATGTTTTAAATTCTTCCTTTGAGCCTCAGACTAGGTCCTAAGAGCCTGTTCTTTGGACTGTAGGCATTTTGTTAAGTTACATTTATAAGCTTTCAGTCTTACCTATATCTACCACTGACCCTCCATTTCCAAATCACAGTGGGAGTTATTTTATCTTATTTAGGGTTGAGCTAATGCTTGTTTTCCAATTTTATCCTTTTGTTGATATAATTTATATCAACTTTTATACTTAATATTATATTCATATTTTGAACCTTCCATTTCCCTTCAAGATAGGATGATTAATGTCCTGTGCTGAGAGAGAGAAATTTGTTACTAGTCCCAGTTCACAAGCTGAGATATAGCAATGCCATTCAAATCTCTGACAGTACTTCTTTAATAGTTGTGCTCATTGCATGGCTACACTGGAAAAATTAGAGAAATGCTTTGGATGGGTTGGGGGAGAGTCCTTTTTTATATAAATCTGCTTTTCCCAAAAGATCTTTCACTGAAGGTAAATTGGCTGATCTATGTCTTTAGAATGACTCTGAAGATTTGCAAAAGTATCCTTTCTATGGTATAAGGGAAGAGGGGAGAGAATCTTGAAAAATACAAATCAGATTCTGTACCATAGAGAGGGTCCCAGAAAAGAAACAAACAGGGTGACTGAAAATGCAGAACTGGTAGCTGCCCATTGTGCATTTTCATGCATATGGCCCCCAGGCTAATATTAATCAATGCTGCCTGCCTTCTCTGCTTGAGAGATCTCCAACCAGAGGAGGACACATCGTGTAGAAAGAGCATTCCATGTGGAGGGAGTTGCTATAATTCACTTGGTGGTGGCAGCTGACTTATTGAGGGTGCCTCTTCGATCTTGTTTTAACACTGAAAAACAAAGAGCGGGGCCGTCTGTGCTAGATTGTTATCCAAGAAGGCCAGACGCATCGGTCACTGAAAATGCCAAACAAACAGCCCAGTTTCCAAAAGACAAGATAATGGCTGTCAGTGGCTGTTGTGTTCCCAAGTTTTAGAGAAAGATTTGAATTTTCCATAAGCTCTTTTTAGTGGTTGAGTATTTTACATTCTGAAGAAATCTGCCCTTGTGTTAATTTCATGGCTCCATAATTACTCTCTGCAAATAGGATGTTATCTAAGGACCAAATCTTTAAAATACCAAGAATGGCCCCTATGCTTCCACTTTATAAAACCATCACAGGGGTGCCTGGGTGGCTCAGTCAGTTGAGCATCCAACCCTTGATTTTGGCTCAGATCATGATCTCAGGGTTGTGAGATCGAGCCCGGAGTCACTCTTCATGCTTAGCCCAGAGTCTGCTTGAGGTTCTCTCTCTCCCTCTCTCCTTGTCCCTCTGCCCACTCTCTCTCTTTAAAATAAATAAAATCTTAAAAAAAAACATACCATCACATTTCTCTTGCAGAGTTCATAACATTTCCAGGCATGTTTTATCTTTTTTTTGGTTTAATTTGTACCCCCAACACCTATGTGAGAAGGGGACAACTTTTTTTTTTTTTGCAGATGGATTAAGTGAATACGTGAAGGAAATTGACCTACAAAATTTGTACATTAAGTGATCTCCGTCCAGAATATACATCATTATTTTTATTTTTTTAAAGATTTATTTATTTATTTGATGGGGTGGGGGAGGGACGAAGGGAGAGGGAGAGAGAGAATCTCCAGCAGACTCCTGCTGAGCAGGGAGCCTGACATGGGGCTCGATCCCACACCTCTGAGATCATGACCTGAGCTGAAATCAAGAATCGGCTGTTTAACCGACTGAGTCCCCCAGGCACCCCCATCATTATTTTTGGGAACAGCTTTTACCAAAAATTACTCAAAAAAATTTAACGTTTCTTAGTTCCTGCTTATAGAAGTAATACATACCTATTGTGAACAATCTAAAAGCACACAAAAAAGCCCATCACTCAGAGATAATACTGTTCAAAATTTCAGCATATTTTCTTTCATTCTTTTTTCTATAGAAAGAACCTCACTTGCTAACATATATCTTAAAAAGAAACATAAATAGAAAGGAAAATGTATATTTATATTAAAACTTAAAAAAGTCTTCAAATTCGTGCTATCAATTCCAAAGAATGTAAGTCAGACAAAATGTAATTTGGTCATATTGGAAGAAGATGTGGATCCAACCGATGTTTCTTCAGCTCATGACCACACAGTATAGTCAGAAAACACATAAAAACACAGAAGGTGTATCAACAGAAGGGATTTAATGTGAGGAATTGGTTACATAGGTGCTATGGGCTAAAAGAGCGAAAACCAAAGCCAGTAAAATCTCCAGGAAGGAGCTACCGTGCCTGGATTGAGGGACATAAAAGAAGAGATAGAAAATGTAGAAATCTGAAGGGGAGACCCACAAACTTGGTGCTCAGACCTCGGAGGGGGATACAGTCAGCTGCCGCTTCAACTCAGGAATGTGGCAGACGGGTCTCCAGAGTTGAGAGAAGTATATTGCCCAGGCTCTCTTCTTGAAAACTCTACTTGTAGACATAATCCAGTCAACTGAGATATAAAGTATGAACAATCATGTTGAACAAACATGAGTTTTGCAATGTAATCATAAACATTAAATTCTAGAAGTCAAAAATATGAATGACAGAGTGAAAACAGGAAGGAAGTTTTAGTACAGGCAAAAGCATATAGAGAGAACTAAAAAATAAAAAAGAACAGAAGTAACACCTTGAGAAGAATTTGGAAATATTTGCTAAAGTTGATGATCCACATATACTAAGACACAGCAATTTGGCTCCTAGGTATAGACCCTGGGAAAATTCTCATTATACATGTAAGGAAGCACAGGAAATGTTGATGCAGCATTGTTTGTAATAGTGAAATCTAGAAACAGCTAAAATGGCTATCAGTAGAAATGGATAAATAGTAGTGCTATCTTCATGTAATATTTGATGGCAGTTCAATCTATATTACCACTATGTCTAAAGAGAAAAGTTACAAAGAGATATACTCCCCAAAAGGACCTGGCTCAGACAATTTCATGAATGAATTTTTACAAATACTTAAGGAACTTATGAAAACTTACTATGTCCTTTATATGAATTTTTTAAAATACCACTATGAAATCATATCATCATCACCCCTGTTTTATAGATGAGGACACTGTGGCACAAAATGATTTCTTTGCTCAATGTCACACCACTAGGAAATGACAGATCTGGGATGCAAATCCAGGCAGTCTGCCTCCAAAGGCTGCACTCAACCACCATGCCATCCCACCTCATCCCTCTGCTACCCAAACTATTCCAGATCACGGTGAAAGATGAAACTTGTCCAATTATTGTTTAAAGACATAAATACCTAGTAAAATATCTAAATGTCTAGTAAAAGCAGTACACAAAAAGAAAACCACAGAACAATCTCGACCATGATATTAATGC